CCTTGCTATAGGCCTTCCGAGCTCATCAATCCTAGTAGTAAGTTCCAGCCGGCCAAAGTCCGTAAACAAGGATTTGAGCCTCTCGTCTCGTCACGTCCAACTCACTCTCCCACACAGGAGTCTCGGCGGTAATTCTCTCACGGGCTCCATTCCTGAGAGCATCTCTGCGCTCACGAACCTCACATACCTGTAAGAGGCGCACTGGGTTTGCTCCACCTGCATGCTGCTCTGTCCACTGGGTGCTGCATGCCATGTGCGCATCACTGCTGGCACTCCTCCTCTGCCCATGCACTCTGCACGCCCACTCCTTCCCACCTCTGCTGTCTGCATCGCTTCACCACCCCGTGTTCCTCCCTCTTGTTGGAGTAATTGGTTCTTATGCCTTGGTTCCTAAACCTCAAAACCCAGTACACCTGTTTTACTACGATGGCAAAACTCATAACTGTCACTACGCAATCTTAATCTGTACAGTCTTTGTCAGTCCTCTGCATTTGCTTGCCTTGCTATAGGCCTTCCGAGCTCATCAATCCTAGTAGTAAGTTCCAGCCGGCCAAAGTCCGTAAACAAGGATTTGAGCCTCTCGTCTCGTCACGTCCAACTCACTCTCCCACACAGGAGTCTCGACGGTAATTCTCTCACGGGCTCCATTCCTGACAGCATCTCTGCGCTCACGAACCTCACATACCTGTAAGAGGCGCACTGGGTTTGCTCCACCTGCATGCTGCTCTGTCCACTGGGTGCTGCATGCCATGTGCCCATCACTGCTGGCACTCCTCCTCTGCCCATGCACTCTGCACGCCCACTCCTTCCCACCTCTGCTGTCTACATCGCTTCACCACGCCGTGTTCCTTCCTCTTGTAGTAATTCGTTCTTATGCCTTGGACACCTGTTTTACTACCACGGCAGAGTCATATCTGTCACTACGCAATCTTAATCTGTACAGTCTTTGTCAGTCCTCTGCATTTGCTTGCCTTGCTATAGGCCTTCCGAGCTCATCAATCCTAGTAGTAAGTTCCAGCCGGCCAAAGTCCGTAAACAAGGATTTGAGCCTCTCGTCTCGTCACGTCCAACTCACTCTCCCACACAGGAGTCTCGGCAATAATTCTCTCACGGGCTCCATTCCTAACAGCATCTCTGCGCTCACGAACCTCACATACCTGTAAGAGGTGCACTGGGTTTGCTCCACCTGCATGCTGCTCTGTCCACTGGGTGCTGCATGCCATGTGCGCATCACTGCTGGCACTCCTCCTCTGCCCATGCACTCTGCACGCCCACTCCTTCCCACCTCTGCTGTCTGCATCGCTTCACCACGCCGTGTTCCTCCCTCTTGTTGTAGTAATTGGTTCTTATGCCTTGGTTCCTAAACCTCAAAACCCAGTACACCTGTTTTACTACGACGGCAAAACTCATATCTGTCACTACGCAATCTTAATCTGTACAGTCTTTGTCAGTCCTCTGCATTTGCTTGCCTTGCTATAGGCCTTCCGAGCTCATCAATCCTAGTAGTAAGTTCCAGCCGGCCAAAGTCCGTAAACAAGGATTTGAGCCTCTCGCCTAACTCACTCACCCACACAGGGATCTCAGCACTAATTCTCTCACGGGCTCCATTCCCGACAGCATCTCTGCGCTCACGAACCTCTTAGACCTGTAAGAGGCACACTGGGTTTGCTCCACCTGCGTGCTGCTCTGTCCACTGGGTGCTGCATGCCATGTATGCATCACTGCTGGCACTCCTCCTCATCCCATGCCCTCTGCACGCCCACTCCTTCCCACCTCTGCTGTCTGCATCTCTTCACCACGCCGTGTTCCTCCCTCTTGTTGTAGTAATTCGTTCTTATGTCTTGGTTCCTAAACCTCCAAACCCAGTTCACCTGTTTTACTACCACAACTCATAACTGTCACTACGCAATCTGAATCTGTACAGTCTTTGTCAGTCCTCTGCATTTGCTTGCCTTGCTATAGGCCTTCCGAGCTCATCAATCCTAGTAGTAAGTTCCAGCCGGCCAAAGTCTGTAAACAAGGATTTGAGCCTCTCGCCTAAGTCACTCACCCACACAGGGATCTCAGCACTAATTCTCTCACGGGCTCCATTCCCGACAGCATCTCCGCACTCACGGCACTCACATACCTGTAAGAGGCGCACTGGGTTTGCTCCACCTTCGTGCTGCTCTGTCCACTGGGTGCTGCATGCCATGTGCGCATCACTGCTGGCACTCCTCTGCCCATGCACTCTGCACGCCCACTCCTTCCCACCTCTGCTGTCTGCATCTCTTCACCACGCCGTGTTCCTCCCTCTTGTTGTAGTAATTCGTTCTTATGCCTTGGTTCCTAAACCTCAAAACCGAGTACACCTGTTTTACTACCACGGCAGAGCTCATATCTGTCACTACGCAATCTTAACCCGTACAGTCTTTGTCAGTCCTCTGCATTTGCTTGCCTTGCTATAGGCCTTCCGAGCTCATCAATCCTAGTAGTAAGTTCCAGCCGGCCAAAGTCCGTAAACAAGGATTTGAGCCTCTCGCCTAACTCACTCACCCACACAGGGATCTCAGCACTAATTCTCTCACGGGCTCCATTCCCGACAGCATCTCTGCGCTCACGAACCTCTTAGACCTGTAAGAGGCACACTAGGTTTGCTCCACCTGCGTGCTGCTCTGTCCACTGGGTGCTGCATGCCATGTGTGCATCACTGCTGGCACTCCTCCTCTTCCCATGCACTCTGCACGCCCACTCCTTCCCACCTCTGCTGTGTGCATTGCTTCACCACGCTGTGTTCCTCCCTCTTGTTGTAGTAATTCGTTCTTATGTCTTGGTTCCTAAACCTCAAAACCCAGTTCACCTGTTTTACTACCACAACTCATAACTGTCACTACACAATCTTAATCTGTACAGTCTTTGTCAGTCCTCTGCATTTGCTTGCCTTGCTTTAGGCCTTCCGAGCTCATCAATCCTAATAGTAAGTTCCAGCCGGCCAAAGTCCGTAAACAAGGATTTGAGCCTCTCGTCTCGTCACGTCCAACTCACTCACCCACACAGGGGTCTCCGCACCAATTCTCTCACGGGCTCCATTCCCGCCAGCATCTCTGCGCTCACGAACCTCTGGTTCCAGTAAGAGGCACACTGGGTTTGCTCCACCTGCGTGCTGCTCTGTCCACTGGGTGCTGCATGCCATGTGCGCATCACTGCTGGCACTCCTCCTCTGCCCATGCACTCTGCACGCCCACTCCTTCCCACCTCTGCTGTCTGCATCTCTTCACCACGCCGTGTTCCTCCCTCTTGTTGTAGTAATTCGTTCTTATGCCTTGGTTCCTAAACCTCAAAACCCAGTACACCTGTTTTACTACGACGGCAAAACTCATATCTGTCACTACGCAATCTTAATCTGTACAGTCTTTGTCAGTCCTCTGCATTTGCTTGCCTTGCTATAGGCCTTCCGAGCTCATCAATCCTAGTAGTAAGTTCCAGCCGGCCAAAGTCCGTAAACAAGGATTTGAGCCTCTCGCCTAACTCACTCACCCACACAGGGATCTCAGCACTAATTCTCTCACGGGCTCCATTCCCGACAGCATCTCTGCGCTCACGTACCTCCAAGACCTGTAAGAGGCACACTGGGTTTGCTCCACCTGCGTGCTGCTCTGTCCACTGGGTGCTGCATGCCATGTGTGCATCACTGCTGGCACTCCTCCTCTTCCCATGCCCTCTGCACGCCCACTCCTTCCCACCTCTGCTGTCTGCATTGCTTCACCACGCCGTGTTCCTCCCTCTTGTTGTAGTAATTCGTTCTTATGTCTTGGTTCCTAAACCTCAAAACCCAGTTCACCTGTTTTACTACCACAACTCATAAATGTCACTACGCAATCTTAATCTGTACAGTCTTTGTCAGTCCTCTGCATTTGCTCGCCTTGCTATAGGCCTTCCGAGCTCATCAATCCTAGTAGTAAGTTCCAGCCGGCCAAAGTCCGTAAACAAGGATTTGAACCTCTCGCCTAACTCACTCACCCACACAGGGATCTCAGCACTAATTCTCTCACGGGCTCCATTCCCGACAGCATCTCCGCACTCACGGCACTCACATACCTGTAAGAGGTGCACTGGGTTTGCTCCACCTGCGTGCTGCTCTGTCCACTGGGTGCTGCATGCCATGTGCGCATCACTGCTGGCACTCCTCCTCTGCCCATGCACTCTGCACGCCCACTCCTTCCCACCTCTGCTGTCTGCATCTCTTCACCACGCCGTGTTCCTCCCTCTTGTTGTAGTAATTCGTTCTTATGCCTTGGTTCCTAAACCTCAAAACCTAGTACACCTGTTTTACTACGACGGCAAAACTCATATCTGTCACTACGCAATCTTAATCTGTACAGTCTTTGTCAGTCCTCTGCATTTGCTTGCCTTGCTATAGGCCTTCCGAGCTCATCAATCCTAGTAGTAAGTTCCAGCCAGCCAAAGTCCGTAAACAAGGATTTGAGCCTCTCGTCTCGTCACGTCCAACTCACTCACCCACACAGGGGTCTCTGCACCAATTCTCTCACGGGCTCCATTCCCGACAGCATCTCTGCGCTCACGAACCTCGGAGACCTGTGAGAGGCACACTAGGTTTGCTCCACCTGCGTGCTGCTCTGTCCACTGGGTGCTGCATGCCATGTGCGCATCACCGCTGGCACTCCTCTTCCCATGCACTCTGCACGCCCACTCCTTCCCACCTCTGCTGTCTGCATCGCTTCACCACGCAGTGTTCCTCCCTCTTGTTGTAGTAATTCGCTCTTATGCCTTGGTTCCTAAACCTCAAAACCCTGTACACCTGTTTTACTACGACGGCAGAGCTCATATCTGTCACTACGCAATCTTAATCTGTACAGTCTTTGTCAGTCCTTTGCATTTGCTTGCCTTGCTATAGGCCTTCCGAGCTCATCAATCCTAGTAGTAAGTTCCAGCCGGCCAAAGTCCGTAAACAAGGATTTGAGCCTCTCGTCTCGTCACGTCCATCTCACTCACCCACACAGGAATCTCTTCAATAATTCTCTCACGGGCTCCATTCCCGACAGCATCTATGCGCTCACGAACCTCCAATACCTGTAAGAGGCACACTGGGTTTGCTCCACCTGCATGCTGCTCTGTCCACTGGGTGCTGCATGCCATGTGCGCATCACTGCTGGCACTCCTCCTCTGCCCATGCACTCTGCACGCCCACTCCTTCCCACCTTTGCTGTCTGCATCTCTTCACCACGCCGTGTTCCTCCCTCTTGTTGTAGTAATTCGTTCTTATGCCTTGGTTCCTAAAGCTCAAAACCCAGTACACCTGTTTTACTACCACGGCAGAGCTCATATCTGTCACTACGCAATCTTAATTTGTACAGTCTTTGTTAGTCCTCTGTATTTGCTTGCCTTGCTATAGGCCGTCCAAGCTCATCAATCCTAGTAGTAAGTTCCAGCCGGCCAAAGTCCGTAAACAAGGATTTGAGCCTCTCGTCTCGTCATGTCCAACTCACTCACCCACACAGGAATCTCTTCAATAATTCTCTCACGGGCTTCATTCTCGACAGTCTTTGTCAGTCCTCTGCTTGCTTGAAGGCCACACACTGGCTGATTCAGCTTCCATACAATGTCTGGTGGAAAAGAAGCTGGAAATCCTTCGGGCCACTCCATATAGATTTCCTCTAGATGAGGAGCGAGAGCAGGAGCAGAGGAAGGATGGGGGGCGAGTGGGGGAGCAAGTTGGGGAGGGGAGGGGGAAGGAAGGAGCGGAGGAGACTGCTTGGTGTTGGAGGGGGAAGTGGGAAGAGATACTTTGGCGAATCTGAGTTGTGCCCGAGGTATACACACGTGATTGTTTTGGGAGCAAGCTTGCCGCCAGCTTCACGACGGGCTTGGGAGTTGAGGAGGACATAGGATGTGCACTCCCATACACGTAGAGGGCGGGCGGACGGCTTTTGACCCGTCCACAGCTCAGCGGGGGTGGTGTGGGTGTGATGAGGGTGAGGATGGAGACTGTGGAGGGCGGCAGCGTGGAGCATGGCGTACCCCCAAAGAGAGGGAGGGGCAGAGGCGGGAGTGAGGAGGCAGCGAGCAATCTGCACTAAGATGCGGTTCCGACTCTCAGCAACACCGTTCTGTTGGGGACTGTCCGGGAGAGTGAAGGTCTGACTGATACCTCAGTGGAACAGAAGGCTTTGAGAGTGTTGTTGCGGAATTCACCGCCACCGTCAGAGTGAAGGAACTTGATGGTGGTTTTGAAGTGTTTATGAGTCTGCTTGGCCCATTCAATGATGACGATTAGGGCTTCAGACTTGGAGAAGAGGAGGTGGACAGACCCATAGTAGGAATAGTCATCAATGATGAGAAGGAAGTAGAAATGTTCGCCACAAAAACGAACAGGAGCTTGACCCCAAAGGTCCATGTGCACGCGATCGAGAGGTGCAGTGGAAATGGACTCAGTGGGGGGATGGGGTTGTTCACGAAGCTTGCTCTGTGCACAATGAGGGCAAGGCGGCCCGAGGTTGGAGGCAGGAGAGGGAAGTGAGGTTGGAAGTTTGTGGAGAAGCTGTTTTGTGGCAAGGTCCGAAAGCGCGCGGAAGTTGATGTGGCCGAGGCGGTGATGGAAGAGCATGGTTTTGTCGGAAAGGAGACGGCAGTGACAGGGAGAGGAGTCTGAGGAAGGGAGCGGAAGGTGGGTGAGTGAGCACGTTTGAATGGGAGGGACAACGAGTGTGTAGAGATTGTTGGAGTTGAGGGTGAAGCGGGCTAGATGAATACCGGTTTTGGCATCAAAAACATCACAGTAGTCGACACCATTGGGAACGATGGTGATCACTCCTGCATGTTAGATTTCACGCTGTGCCAGGAGGTTGTAGCGGAGGGTTGGGGCACAGATGCCAGTGACTGTGCCGGATGGGAATGCTGGACAAGGAACTGTGGAAGACCCATAACATTGGATGTAGAAGCTAGAATCTGCTCCAAGGAGTGGGTTGGGGGCCGGGTAGGGAACGAATGCGGTTTGGTCTTTGAGCACTATGTGGGTGGCACCACTGTCTAGTATGAACTCGATCCCCTGTGTGTTTGAAACACCGATGTACTGCGATCCCTTCTCATTAATAATACCACCACCAAAGAACAACAGATTGAGGCGAACATCAGATGGGCCGCTAGCAAGTGCCTCAGCAGGTTCCTCTACTGCCTCGACCTGATTCACGGGGTGGGGCCCAGTTGGGAGGACGCTTGTTGGTGGAGACACTGTGGACGTCATACCACTCGTCATCTCGCTTCTTGAAGCAAGTTGCCCCAGGGTGGTTGGTGCCTCCACATTTCTGCCTTGCACGTGGACCCATCCTAATGATGTAGGGGCATGGGGGAAACGAGTTGCGCCTCGATCCCTGCTGGGAGCGGAATGGGATACCAGGGGTGTAGCGCACAGCATTGACGGATGCTTGTGCCGCAAAGTCCTTTTCAGCAGAGAGAAGGGCCGATGCGACTTTCTCGAAAGTGAGTTCCTTGGTGGGGAGCTGCTTGAGCATGGAACTGGTGACATTGTAGGCCGAGGTAAGACCTACGAGTAGCCCACCTGCAGGTGCTTGTTCGGGGAAGTTGACCCCGATGTCCTTGAGTTCCTCGTGGATGTTACGAATTTCTGAAAGGTAGTCCGCCATGCCCGGGCATTCGTCAAGGCGGATCTGGAACATTCGAGGGATGAGGATTGCAACTCCCACTGCGGTCTTGTCATGGAAACGGTCCTGGAGGTGCTTCCAAATCTCATGAGCGGAGCGAAACGTGCGGTAGGATTTGACAAGTTCAACGGGAGTGGTGGTGACATGAAAACCCTAATGACCCCTGCATCCGCGTGCTCCCACACACTGAAATCGGTCTCATACTGGGTAGTCTTAGCCTCGAATGCGATTTTGGCTGTGGCAGTGGCTCCTTCGCCAAGAGGATCGGGAGGGAGAGGCATCTTTCCCTTGCCACAGTTGAGTAGGATGTCCTTAAGGCAAATCCCCTTCAGTTCCGTGCTAAGGAGGTGCTTCTCCACTCCATAGCACCATTCCCAAAGTTGGTGCTCGTGCTGTTGGGAGCGAGATTGAGAACGATGAGATTTCCGATGAGGGTGGAAGTTGAAGTCGCCATTTTGCACGTAGCGCAGCGCTAAAGTCTCCGATACGTCGAAAAGCGGAGTGATGTGATGTGCGGAGCGGCGATTTTGAAAATTAGGAAGTCTAAAACGCGATTTTGGCAACAGAAAAACCTGGAATGTGATGTGCTGCTCTGCTTCGCCGATGCCCCCTGATCTGCTTCGCCGCTGCCCCCCTTTTCCGCTGCTCTACTGCGTCGCTGACCCGTTCCGCTTCTCTGCTGCGCCGCTGACCTGTTCCGCTGCGCCGCTGACCTGTTCTTCTGCGCCGCTGAACATGTTCTGCTGCGGCGATGAACCTGTTTTGCTGCGCCGCTGAACCTGTTCTGCTGCGCCGCTGAACCTGTTCTGCTGCGCCGCTGAACTTGTTCTGCTGCGCTGCTGAAAACCTGTTCTGTTGCGCCGCTGAAAACCTGTTCTGCTACGCCGCTGAAAACCTGTCCTGTTGCGCCGCTGAAAACCTGTTCTGCTGCGCCGCTGAAAACCTGCTCGAAGAGATTGGGAAAAACGAGAAATTTCCAGACAGAGATGTAAAATTTCAGAAGCTTACGATGAATGCATGGGATAGAAGAAATCGACGCTGAAATCGGAAGTGCGCTAAGACAGAATGTGAGTGCGCTCTTGAATGGCGTGAAGACGTCAAGTCGGAAGACGCTAGGCGTAGGAGCCGAAAACTGAAGGAGGTATAGAAGAACTAAAGAGAACCATTACGACGCCAAGGATCAGATTCCGCGTGAGTGGAATTTACTTGCTCTGATACCATGATAGAAATGGAGCTGAACAAATTAATTAATAGAGAAGGCACTAGGCCTAAGTACAAACGAGGTTGGGTTGGGAAAAGCTAGGGAAAGGATGGGATGGGAATCCTAGCAAATCTCCAATTGGTGAGTTGGCAAATTTGCAGGATTACGAGGTAGTCCCAACCAGATAGGGCTGGGATTACAAACTACACCCAACCCGCAAATAACTTACGCGATATAGAATATAGTACACCAAGTGTTGACAGCCTATTTCTAACATCAACGTATTGACGTGAAGAGACATTTTTGCACACGACCAGTGCGTCGTCATAACGTTGCGCAGGAGTTTTGGGAACGCTCTATTGCACACGATTATTTTTGCACTTAGTGTGTCCCTCTACAAACACGGACCCTTGGTTAGGGGCTGGCTTTACCAGGCACCCGTGGACCCTTGGAGGTGACCTTGTGGGGACTACTAAGTGTGAATTAAAGGTGTGCTTAGTAGCTTCTAGATCCCAATAGGTGTTAACAACTTAATGGTTGCTGCACACCATGTGCGCATCAATGCTGGCACTCCTCTACTGCCCATGCACTGTGCACGCTCTCTCATCTACCCCTTTGCTGTCTACTCCCATTTCCACTTCACGCTTTTAGAGTACTCACAGCTTCCACTACACCACCCTGTAATCTCAGTCGGTCCTCTACATTTGCTTGCCTTTCTCTATCCCTTCTTAATTGAGAAATCCTTTTAAGCTCCAGCCACTGTCTGCAGACAGGTTTGAACCTCTCTCTCATTTCACCACGACCAACTCACCTACCCACTCAGGGATTTTGGCAGTAACAGTCTTGCGGGCTCCATTCCCGACAGCATCTCGGCTCTCACGGCACTCTCACACCTGTAAGAGGCACAATGCGTCTGCTCTCATTGGGTGCTCCACTGGCACTGCCCATGCTCTTGGCATGCCCACTCCCCCCCACCCCCCCCCCCCCTCTCTGCTGTTTGCATCACTTTGCCACTCCTAGCTCGTATGTGCTGCATCAACCTTCTGACAGCTTCATCAGTTCAGCAGAGCTCACAACTGCCACTACACTAGCTCAGCATGTACAATCACAGTCCTCTCCATTTGCCTTGCTTTAGCCCTTTTAAAATGATCATGCCTTCCAAGTTCCAGCCACCCGGACAGGGATTTGAGTCTCTCCTCTCATCACGTCCAACTCTCTCAACCCCACACAGGGGTCTCAACTCCAACTCTCTCAACGGCTCCATTCCCTACTACATCTTCAACTGGCTCGATGCACTCACATACCTGTAAGAGGCACCCTGAGTTTTCTCTTTCTATGTGCATATCATCACTGCTGGCCAAGGAGCATAACGTTTTATTTTCCCCGTTCCAGACTCTTTCTGGAACAAAACGTTTTAATAACAAACGACTATTTTGGTGGGAAAAAAGCACCTACTATTTTTCTTGTTAGGTTTCTAACCTGCTGTTGTACTAGATAAGAGATGAGCAACGGGCGAACTCAAACGAGTTTGAGTCGAAAATGCCGAACATGTCTTGCAACCGAACCGAACATCAAACATTTTTGTAGGTTTAGGGGTGTTCGATGTTCGTTTTGTAGGGGCGAACATTTCACAGATTTCCCGATCATCACCATGTTCGAGGCGAACCCGAAGATGTTCGGTTCGTAGATGGGGTTTCCCTAAGTCATCCTAGAGACTGCTAGGCTGGGGAGCCTAGTGAAAAAAAAAAAAACGCAATGTCGGTGGGAGAATGATGGGAAACACAATCGGTGTATTGTGGTTGGGTTGGGTTTTTCTTCCTGGGCTGACGGGAAACACAATAGGTGGGGTGCGAGAATGTTTTCAATATTTCGCATTTCACACTTTCGAATTGATCGGCATTGGACTCTATTCGCGACGGCGATTTCGCAAAATTTGCCCAACTAGCCAGCCCATCCATCCCACCCAAAACCGGCAGTACCACAACGCACCTCCTAAATCCAACCAGGCTTCATACACAAAACTAACGCAAGCAAAAACACACACTCACTTCACACGTTAATCTACTCCCGCTACTACGCTATACCTAATCCGCACACTTCATCCAACTCTGAGGAATATATATGTCGGAAACTCCCCTCTTTGTCACTTGTTGCCTCTTTCACCTACCTCCCTTGTGCCGTGCCACCTTGCTCTCTCACCGTACTGCTCAGGTGCCTATGTTTCCGCCTGCCCCTTCCCTTTTGCCTTCCTACCTCTTCCCCCCCCCTCTCTCACTGTCCTGCCTCTAATTCCGCCTCTCCCCTCACGGTACCACCCCTCTCTGCTCTGCTTCCACGTCTCTTAGTCCCTTTACCCCACCTCCTTCCCGTTGCCTTTGTTCTCTCCCTTCTCGGTACCTCCTTATGCCAAGCTCCCTCCTAACTCATCTTGACTGCTGTTATGGCTTCGTGCTAGAGCTGCTTATCTTGGAGAATGTTGCAGTAATTCACGAAAACAAACACGCAGTGGCAGTCCCATGGCCCAGGACCTTGCCTTAAGCTTCCCAACACAAACCCTAGCAAGGCTAGCCTAACAATGCAACAGTGCTAAGCTGCCTAGCTTGCCATCCACACTGCCTTCCCTCCCATCTCCAGCTGGCGTTGCTGCCTTCCAGCTCTGTCCTGGACTCGATGTCTGCAAGAAGAAACCAAAGCACACACATGCATACCACACATCATACATCACATTCCCCACCCGCACCCCCATCCACGTCATCTCGCTGCCAACCGTGCCAGCACACCCCCACCCTTCGCTACTGCCGCCCTTCCCCGAATTCAATCCCTCGCACCCACCTTCCTGCCACCTGCCTCCTCCTGCCACGCCGCTGCCGTTACAGTTCCTCGCCACAGTCTGCTTCCGCCTTTACCCTCCGCTATACCCTCTGTCAGGATTTCTTAGGTGTTAGCCTCAGAATTCTGACAGCTGTCGGAAACTCCCCTCCTTGTCACTTGTTGCCTCTTTCACCTACCTCCCTTGTGCCGTGCCACCTTGCTCTCTCACCGTACTGCTCAGGTGCCTATGTTTCCGCCTGCCCCTTCCCTCTTGCCTTCCTACCTCTTCCCCCCCCCTCTCTCACTGTCCTGCCTCTAATTCCGCCTCTCGCCTCACGGTACCACCCCTCTCTGCCCTGCTTCCACGTCTCTTAGTGCCTTTACCCCACCTTCTCCTTCCCGTTGCCTTTGTTCTCTCCCTTCTCGGTACCTCCTTGCCTCCTCCCATGACACATGGCTGCCGTCCTCGCGCGTGTCATGGGACCCTGAGTTACGCTTTTGCTCTTCTCCGAGCGTATCCTGGCCACATTGGTCACGTGATCGGCCACCCGCTTTCCCTTCCCATCCTCCAACACTATCACTCCTGACGGTCGCACCTCCTTCACCGTCCATCGCTGCTGAGATAGCCCCACGTCCAGGGCATGCTTCCTCTGCCGCCTGAGATAGACCTCCTCCTCCTCCTGCACTCCTGCCACCGCCCCTTTCCCGTTTGCCTCCTGCCGCTGCTTGTACCTCTCTATATCCCGCAGCTGGGCGACGTGCAGGTTCTCCAGCGCTGCCGAGAGCAAGTGCCTCAGATACGACGCTCGTGCATCCGCCACGGCCACCCACTTCTCTGCCGAGCCCGTGGTGACCACGTCTAAGAGTAGCCTTGGTGCCCCCACTGGCATGACGGGCTCCTTGCCAAACAGCAGGTAGTAGGGCGACACGTCCTTAAAGGCCGCTTGCTTACTGAAGTGATAACCTGCCATGACCCAGCAAAGCTTTCTGTCCCAGTCTTGCTTGTGCTCCTCCTCGTAAGCCCTTAGCCCCCGTTTGACTGTCAGCACCAGCCGTTCTGTTAAGCGTCACTCTGCGGATGGTAGCGTGAGGTTGATCGATGCCGAATACCGCTGGCCTTCAGCAGCAGGTCGAACGCCCCCTCGAACTCCGTTCCCTGGTCAGTCAGTACCTCCCCGCATGCCCCCAGCCTGGTGATGACCATCTCCTCGAATGCCTCCGCCACTGCCTCTGACGTTTTGTGCACGAGCGGCCTTGCCTCTGCCCATTTGCTGATGTGTTCCACCATCAGGAGGATGTACCTCCTGCCCTTGGTCGTGTCCGGCAGCTCCCCCGCTATGTCCAGCGACCAGCGGTATCCCAAACTCACTATGGGCAAGGGCTGCAACTCTGCCTTCTCCCTTTCCAGCACCGCTCTGTTCCTGCAGCACGCATCACACTTCTCCACCCACTCCTTGATCTGCCGCCGCATACCTGCCCACCACCACCCTGTCTGAACTAGCTGCTGCGTGCGCAAGGGCCCGTAGTGTCCTAGCTTCGTGTGAACTTCCTTGATGATGGCTTCTCTGTCAGCTGGTGGCGGGACGTGCTTCCACCCTTCTCCCGTGCGGAGCTGAACTTGCTCTTTGAACCAGCGATAGTGCTCCCCCCGAGCGCGGACTCTGGCTGGCACCGCTCCTTCCTCCGTGGTTGCCCCCTGTATCCAAGATAGTGCCTCCCGGTCCTCCCAGATGTCGGCTGGCCCCCCTTTGCTCTCTCCCCACGCCTGCCCCCGGTCTGCCTCCTTCGCCATGGCCATGAGGCAGGCTGACAGGCCATCCACATGCTGCATGGTCTTGCCTGGGCGGTGCCTGATCTCGAAATCATACATTGCAACTTCATCGCCCAGCGGGCGTTCCTCCCGGTCAGGTCAGGTGTCTGCATCAGCCACAGCAGTGGCTGGTGGTCCGTCACCAATGTAAACTTCCTTCCTTGGAGGTAAACCCTGAAATGCTTTACCGCCCACACTACCGCCAGCCCCTCCCCCTCGTATGACGAGTAGTTAGCTTCCGCTGCGTTACAGCTCCGGCTTGCGAACGCCAGGACCTTTTCCACCTCGTCCTTCATCTGCGCCAAGACCGCTCCCATGCCCGCGCTGCTCCAGTCGGTGTATAGCGTAAAGGGCAGGTCTGCCCTGGGCAGCTCCAGCACGGCCCCGTTCTTTACGGCTTCCATCAGGTCCTGTACTGCCCTCTCCTGGTCTGGCCCCCACTCCCACTGCCTGTCCTCTCTGAGTAGCTGGTTCAAAGCTGTGGCGCGGCTACTGAAGTTGGGCACAAACTTGCGATAATAGTTGAGAAATCCCAGCAGAGCCCGTAGGGAGGCCCGGTCCTTCGGTGTAGCCACCCGATCCAGCACCTCAACTTTTGCCTTCTGGATCCCGATCCTTCCTCCTTCCACTTCGAACCCCAGGTACTCTACCGTTGTGTGCCCGAACTTGCACTTTCCTTGATGGCAGGTGAGGCCTGCCCCCTGAATGGCGCTCAGTGTGGCTTCCACGCCTCTCACGTGCGAGCTGCTATCTGTGCTAAACACGATGACGTCGTCTATGTAACATGCTGCATTCTTGACCTCCCGTAGCACCTGGTCCATGACCCGCTGGAACTCTGGTGACGCCGACTTCAATCCGAAGGGCAGGAAGTTCCACTCGTATTGTCCATCCGGCCCATGGAAGGCTGTCTTCTTCTTGTCCGCTTTTGCTATGGGTATCTGATTGAAGCCCTGCCGCAGGTCTAGCGTGGTGAACACGAGCGCCTCGGCCAGCAAATCAAAGATCTCGTCTGGCATCGGCGTCTAGTAGCGCTTCATTATTGTGATTTTGTTGAGACCCCGGTAATCCCCACACATCCTCTTGGAGAGCACTTTGCCCGTCAAGTCTGTCTGTGCTGCTACCACTGTTGCTGCTGTGTATTCTGAATTTGATTTCCTAATGAATCCTGCCTCCAGCAGTTCCTGACATTTCTCCTTGCATATCTGCGTCTCCTCCGTTGTCATGCGCCGCCGCCGCTGGTAGACCGGGATCTCGGTCGTCAGGTCCAACGTCACCACCGCCATGTTACACCTCCAGCGAGTAAGTGAAAGCCGCTCGATGCTTTGCTAAGACTTCCTTCAACTTGGCGGCATCAGCTTCCGACACTCCCTCCCCGATCACCCACTCTGGCTGTTCCTCTTTTGGTGCTGGCTGCTCTGCTTCTTTCTTTCCTGCAGATTCTGCCCCCCCTCGCTTCTGTGCTGCTACCCGGCTGCTCGCTTCCTGCTTCCTCCGGAGCTGGCTCCTTCGTTGCTGCCATGAGGGCGAAGTCGCTGTAGCCGAACTCCCGTTCGTCTCGTTCTCGGCGCTTCTGCCTCTCAATTGCCTCTTCTAGCCAGTCGAAGTCCTCCCGCTTCTTCTCCACCGCCTGCTCTTCCCTTTCCCCCGGTAGCCAAATTTCCTCCTGCTCTGCGTATACTGCCAGTCTCTCATTCTCCTCTTCCCAGGGGTAGACCCACCTCCTCTCCAGGGGGTGGCCCCGCTCGTTGGAAACTCTAGGTCCTTTGGCTTCGCCGGGTCCAGGAACCGCCGCACCCAAATTTGCACATTAGGGTAGTGCGCGCGCTTGACATGCTTCCACCCAGTCCCCGTGCTACCCCCATCCCATCCCATTACGTCCCCACACACCCGACACGGACGACAACCATCCTCAAGCTCACCAAACATTCCCACAAGTAAACCAGGGTAGTGCTTCCCTGCCAAACCCTCAACCACCGAATCCTTAGGCAAATCCTCCTTTCGTTGACGCTTTGACGCACGCCCACGACTCCCCGCTGTCCCACCACCCCGACTGATGCCACGAGCATGCAACGGCGTAGACCCAACACCATCGGACCGTTGAGTGGGTGCATTCCCTGGCCCTGGATCGGGCGCAGCCTCGGCCGCTCTCCCACCACCACTGCCACCGCGCCCAGCCCTTGCAGCACTATGCGCAACCCTCCCAACCCTCCCCCCACCTCGTCCATCTACTGGGGGGCCGCTAGCATACCCCCCACTGCGCCCCCCTGCATTGCCTACGGCCTGCGCACGCGCAGAAGACCGACCCTGCCCGCGACCAACCCGTCCCCCCCCACGACCCCCTCGACCCCTTCCTCCCCGTCCATTATCCCCTCCATGTTCCCTGGCATTGCGGCCAGCACCCTCCTCCTCCTGCTCTTGCACCTCCTCCTCCACATTCGCGTCCCCTCCCGCCCCCGCTGCAGAGTCCTCTGCCGCCGCCGCCTCGACCTCCGCTACAGTAGGCCTATACTCATTATCATCGCCTGTTTCATCACGGGTCTGCCCACCACCCTGCCACTCTCGATGAGGACTGCTAGGCCAGTAGGAATCCTGTTCCTCACCCCCTGCATCTCCGCCATCAGTCTCAACAGGGTGCTGTAGAGCACTACCCAGCATAAAGTTGGTTCGTGCTGCAGGTGTTTAAAGTCGATTAAAACTAGCACCTTGCAGAGCTCGTCCTTCTTCATTCCCATCTCCGCCTCCCTGGTTAGACTCCCCGTTCATATTCCGTTCATTGTAGCGCCTTCGCGCTGCTGAAGGTGGCGCCTTGGCGCTGCTAAAGGTGGCGCCTCCGCGCTGCTGAAGGTGGCGCCTTCGCGCTGATGAAGGTGGCGCCTTCGCAGTGATGAAGGTGGCGCCTTCGCGCTGCTGAAGGTGGCGCCTTCGCGCTGATCAAGGTGGCGCCTTCGCGCTGCTGAAGGTGGCGCCTTCGCGCTGCTGAAGGTGGCCGCGATCGCGCTGCCCTATCGCGCTGCCTGATCGCGATGCTGAACCTGGCCGCGATCGCCCTGTCCTAATGCGGTGCCGCGATCGCGCATATGCGGGGCGGCGATCGCGCCAATGTGGGGCCCTGATCGCGCTGAGCAAACGCGGGGCCGAGATCGCGCTATTGCGGGGACGCGATCCCGCCAATGCGTGGCCGCACGCGCGCTGCTGCGCCCCTGGTCGTGCGACGCTGCGAAATGGCGGGAGCGCCAAACCCTAACCTGAAGATAATATGCAGTTTAAATAGTGCTAACATTGAAGAGTGAAGACTGTATGAGGCTCCCTAGTTGCAGCGCAGAAGTACTAGCCTTGATCTAGTCTAGCGACTAGATCAGAATGTCGAGGGAAAAAAAACCTAAAAAACCAACCGATGTTCAACCCCTACCCTAATCCGAAAACGGGTCGGGTAACCCTGTCATTTGACTGGGTACGCAACCCGGATGGGACGGGTCAACCTGACCCGGCGGGTCGCAAATACCCGTCACTAAATCACAGTGACGGGTCACGGGTCGACCCGACCCGTCCGGGTTTTCCCGACCCGACCCGGGCGGGTCGGCCTTCTCAGCATTCCTGACCCGTCCGGGTCAAATGCCCATCCCTAGGTTGAAATGTGTTGGGGCGGTGAAAACCCGGAATGCGTCTTTGAAAGCCAAAAACGCACGCGATGTTGGCGATTTCAGCACGAGGTATGTCGCCCTGAAAACGAAACACCTTTTGAATTTCTCTCCTCGGAAAATTTAGTCAGAACGCTCGTGGGTCCAGCAAAATGTCGGTGGTCCCACAAGGCACCCTCCAAATCCAGCCTGGGTCCATGACCCCTCGTCGTTTTCCTTCGCGCCACCCACAAGGCCACACTTGCGCGTGTGGCGAATCCGATTGCGGCCTTAGGCTGCGCGTGTGCACATGTTGGCACACTCTGGCGCCACTCGAATGATGGCGTCGAAATCGCAACAGTGCTCGGCACCGTCGCTTAAACCTTGACCCTGAAATCCCCTGAACACTCATGAACAAACACGAAATTACGTGAACACTCATCAAAATGCATGGACGCTTCATGAACACTCACGACATACCAGAACCCATGAAATGACATGAACCCACACCATCACTCACAGAAACTCATGAACATTCACAAGCGCAATGCTTCACAAAAATGATCATAACTCATGAACCGTAGAGGCAATTCACGAGCCGTAATCGCTCAAACGTAAAACACAGAAATGCGCGTCTCTCGAGCCACAAATTACCTTCGAATGAATAACTTAACCTTTTCTTGATACTCGGCGAATAGGCGGTAGGTTGACGTGCAAACGATATTTTTGCACCAACAATTTTCCTGTGCGGTAATCTCGTATCCGTCCTAGTTCCCTAAAACTATTGGCATTTAAGGTACAGTGTTTAATAATACTCCTATGGAGCCTGTGGGTAGTGGCTCCACACCTTTGAGAAGTGGTGTTAGGGAAACATTTGTAGACCGAGGTGGGGGTGTGGAAGAGGAGGAGGAAGACGACCGTGTGCTTAATGATGCGTTAATGGCTCATGTGAACCTTGTTAATTACCTTGTGTGCGTATTTTGGGGATCTTGATATTAGTTATGGATTTTGTGTATTTGTGTCCTGCCTCTTGCCCCCTTTATTGTTTAACTTCCTCTGGTTATTTTTCCTGCCCATTTGTTTTTTGCCCTGCCTGGACAATCGTCCGGGGCGCGTGTGACAGAGGCTCACCTAAGCGACTAGCGTCACGGACCCTAGCATCCGAACCCTAACATCCGAAACCTAGCATCCGGACCCTAGCTCTTAGTTGCGGAAGACGCATCTAGCGTCTTAGACGCGTCCGTCTAGGCGCAGCGTCTAAGACGCTAGATGCTAGATGAGTCAGATTAGACGCAGTATAGATGAAAGCCCGGGTAGGCTAAAAAAAAGTTCGGGCAGACAAACAAATAATCTGTGGGGCATGGGGAGGGTGGGGGACACGCACGTATGTCACAATGGGGTCATTGTTTCCCCGTACCATAATGGTTTTCCCATTCTTAGATTTCACAATATGTTGCTCTCGCAAAGGAACTAGCTAAACCCTAAGGGTTTTCGAAAGATATTTGGAAGAAATGAACGATGGGGAGCACACATGAGGGATTTGTGCTCCCCAACCTCCTGGTGGTTAGCCATAAAGGTTGGGATTTCAAGATACCAAGCGGTGAAGTGTGGTTTGTGTTCAATTTTGGTTTGGGGGGTTTCAAAATTGCTTGGGGGGCTGGTTTATATGGTCGAAATGGGTGGGAAGGGGTTCTAATGGCGCGAAATTGAATTTCGCGTCAAAATGGTGAATTTTAATTTCGCGCGTGCGGATATTTTTTTAGCTGCCCGAAAAAAATAAGCCCAAGTGTCTAGCGTCTAAATCGTCTCGACGCTAGACGCAAGACGGGTCGAGCGTCTTCCGCAACTAGCATCCGGAGTCCGGACCCTTGCATTCGTTTTTTTTTTTTTGCCCTGCCTGGACAAGCATCCGGGGCGCGTCCAACAGAGGCTCACCAAAGCGAATAGCGCCCCGAATCCTAGCATCTGGACCCTAACATTTGAAACCTAGCTTCCGGACCCTAGCATCCGGAGTCCGGACCTAGGTTGGGAAAAACGCTAGGAAATTTTACATATCACGTATATGCGTTTACTCATAAACCGAAAAACGTTATACGGGGATAAATTCGCAATACGTCGCGACAGGCAGCCCGAAAAAAAAACACACACACACACACATAAAAAACAAGGTTGCCACCCTTTTCGCGATCGGCGACTATCTGAAACCTAATTTTGACATTTGAAAGTCTAATTTTGGCATTTGAAAGTCAAATGCCTCCCCCCCCCCCCCCCCCCCCTCCACCGCACATAACCTCACGCCACCTCCCAAACCCAACCCTTCCCTTCCAACCAACCACAAGCAGCTTGGGCTTTCCCGACGGCGTGCGTGCGTACAAGAGCAAGGGGTGTATCACACCTTTTTATTATAGATCTCTTCTTACCTTGTAGTCGACCGCTAGTGTCGCAGGCGAACACTACTAGCCAGAGGAACGCAGGTCTGGCATTCCGCCGCTAGATCTGCGTGGATCTGGTATCGGCGTTACACAAACCATCTCTCCCTCCAGGAAATCCTTTTTTTCCTAGGCCAAGAGTTTATTTCCCTGCCCGACAGAACGTATTCATAGCGTTTTCTGAGGCTGGAATCCCAGCGTACGTACGTCACCGTATAGTCGGTACGCGTCTGATACGCCAGACGCGTATTTTCCAACCAAGATCCGGACATTAGCATCTGGACCCTATCATCTGGACCATAGGATCCGAACCCTAGCATCCGGAGTCCGGACCCGAGCATTCAGACCCTAGCATCCGGACTCTAGGATTCGGACCCTAGAATCTGGACCCTAGCATCTGGACCCTAGAATCCATACGCTAATACCCGGACCATAGCATCCGAACCCTATCATCCAGACCATAGCATCCGAACCCTAGCATCCGGACCCTAACATCCAAGACACTAGCGTCCGAACCCTCGCATCTGTGACCCTTGACGCGTCAGATCCAACATAGCTGTGCACGGGGATTTGAAGCTCTCGTCTCATCACGTCCAACTCACTCAACCCACACAGGAATATTGGCTTTAACTCTCTTGAGGGACCCATTCCCAACTCCATCTCTGCGCTCACGGCACTCAAAGCACTGTAATAGGCGCACTGGGTTTGCTCCACCTGCGTGCTGCTCTGACCACTGGGTGTTGCATGCCATGTGCGCATCACTGCTGGCACTCCTCCATTGCCCTTGCACTCTGCACGCCCACTCCTCCACCCTTCTGCTGTCTGCATCGCTTTGCCACTCTATGTTCCTCCCTCCTGTTGTACTTCAAATTCATGCCTTTGTTCCTTTAACCGCAAAACCCTGGCATGCTAACTGCTTCGGCAGGAATTACTAGTTGCACTACACAATGTCAACCCTTACTGTCTGAGTCGGTCCTCTGCATCTGCTTGCCTTCCAAAAGCCCTTCCAAACTCATTAATCCTTCTCCATTCCAGCTAGCGACCCTTACCAGCAGACATGGTTTTGAGCATCTCGTCTCATCACGTTTAACTCACACATCACACAGGTTTCTCCGCTCTAGCTCTCTCAGTGACTCAATTCCCAACAGCATCTCCGCTCTCACCGCGCTCAAATTCCTGTAAGAGGCACACTTGTTTTGCTCCACCTAAATATTCGGTTTGCGAAAAAATGGTCCGTTATTTACGGTGGCTGTTCACGCTTTTTTTTTTTTTAACGGCCGTTTTTTATCGTTAGAGAACAATGGTCACCAAACGAAAAAAAAAAGGTTGGATACGTTTCGTCCTCTTCCTCCTACTGACTTTCGCCATCAATGTTGTCCCATAAAACGGCTGTTTTTTTTTAATCAAACTGAAATCATATTTTGGAACTGATTAAAACCGGTTAGAACGACCACTTTTCCCGTACAGTTTTTACGGGTGTTTTAAAAAACAAACAAACAAAAAACTCTGCATGCCCACTCCTCCCCCCCTCTGCTGTCTGCATCACTTTGCCACTCCTCAATCGTCCATGTTGCATCGACCTTTTGGTAAGACAAGGGCAACGAGGCGAGTAAAAAACTCGTCTCGTTTTTATTACTCGTTTTAGGCGAGTAACGAGTAGGGCAAATTGCATTTTTTTCTCGTCCGAGGCGAAGCGAGTAATACTCTCGAGTAAAAAATACTCGCCTTTTACTCGTGTTTTCATTGAGTAATTGTGATCTCGCGAGTACGATACTCCTCTTGTCCTGATCCCTGCAGCAGTGGGGTGAAGAATCAACATTTCTAGATCTGGCGGATCATTTCAGTACAACCCGCCAACCTACTAGATCTAGCATTTTAGATCGTGCACGGCCATTATGCAACCAATTAGAGGCCAACTATGTAAATCTATCCATGTAGATCTAGTCTAGTAACCAACTAACGTTTTATATCTTCTTTTGTAGATCGCCCTGGACTACTATTCGTCAAGCGTAATTAGGTAACTTGCACGCATGTTATAACTCGTTAAAAACGCTTTAATTCGGTTGTCTTTGGTTCTAAAGAAACGTCGGTTTAGACGGTCGTTATCAAACCAGCGGGGCACCAAACCATGGGACCATAACTAAGCAGGACGAAGGGGAGGCTGGGTACTAATTCATCAAGTTCTGCACATAGTTGTTAGCCCTTCCTTGCATGTTGCCCTTTGTGGCCATGATTGTGAAAGTTTTCAACCATTTTTCAAAAGAACAGCTGAATTTTTTTATATGATCGTAAAAAACGGACTGTATTTTACGAGCCTCTCGTCTCATCACGTCCAACTCACTCAACCCTACACAGTGATCTCAGCTCCAACTCCCTCGTGGGCTCCATTCCCGACAGCATCTCTGCGCTCACGGCACTTGCATCTCTGTAAGAGGCGCACTGGGTTTGCTCCACCTGCGTGCTGCTCTGTCCACTGGGTGCTACATGCCATGTGCGCATCACTGCTGGCACTCCTCCTCTGCCCATCCACTCAATACACTGGTTCCATCCGTTGCCGTTTGCATCCAATTTCCACTCCTTGTTCTGCCCTACTGCACCAACCTACTTGCTGTACTTCATTGAAGCTACGTGTTGTTTTGAACTCATTCCCGCCAGTACACAATCTCAACCTGTACAATCTCAGTCTGTTCTCTGGATCTGTTTGCCTTGCTGAAGCTCCTGATGAATCAATCCTTCCAAGTTCCAGCCACCCTATTTAAACGGGGTGTGAGCTCTAACTCCCACACAGGGATCTGAGCTCTAACTCCCTCACCGGCTCCATTCCCAACAGCATCTCCGAACTCTTATATCTCGGGGCACTGTAAGCCGCACAATGGGTTTGCTCCACCTGCGTGCTGCTCTGTCCACTAGGTGCTGCATGCCACGTGCGCATCACAGCTGACACCCCACCACTGCCTATGCACTCTGCATGGCCACTCCTCCCCTCCTCTGCACGCTGCATCGCTTTGCGACTCCATGTTCCCGCCTGCTGTTGTACTTCAGATTCATGCTTTTGTTCCTGAATTGGCAGAACTCAAATCCCTGAATTGGCAAAACTCAAATCCCTGAATTGGCAAAACTCAAATCCCTGAATTGGCAGAACTCAAAACTACGATTACTGATTCTCAACCTTAACAATTTCATTCAGTCCTCTGCATTTGGTCGTTTTGCTATTGCAATTTCAAACCAATCAATCCTCATAAGTTCCAGCCACTGCATCTTTCCTACCGTCTAAACCAACCATCTGGCTGGTCTTGATTGAATTCACGCATTCGTTGCTTTAGCAAAACTTATAAGTGCTACCCAATTTTAAACTTTCTTGTGTATTCAGCTGCTCCTCTAGATGTCCTGCTCTTCTGTACAGGGATGTGCACCAAAATGAATTTTCCGGGATCATTCCAGCCACACTTGGGAGTCTTGCTCAATTGGACTACCTGTAAGCTGCGTAGCTGTTCTGCATGTCGTGTGCACCATACTGCTGTCTGGCTTTTCTCACTTTTTATGTGCCCGCGTATTCACTGCGTACCGGACCTCTCCCAAGAAACATTCAGCGTTTATACGCTAGCGTATCATATGCAAACAGCGTGTATTCCAACTTAGCCTCCACTGGCGACAATGCAGACCCGATCCGCTTGCGACGCTGCTGCAGAGCTGCACCTCCAACACAACGCCTTTGGTGGCAAGTAAAGGCTCCCCACTAAAACGATTGTCGGCACCATGTGGCAAAGGAACGGGTGCTAGACGTGCCCCTCGTGTAGGTGCAGTGCAGCGTGGTAGAGGCATATCGCCTCATCCGCCACTGTTATCTTCGCGGCCACCTCTCCCTTAAGTAATCCATAGCGTTCTGCTTGTTAGAGGTGTGCCTCCAACCGAAGCAATCGTGGCACTCCCCGCTCTCGCTCTCTCAGCCCCCAGCGGTCTTCGTACTTGCTGCTTCACGAATAGCTCTCCACCTCCTTGAGAACGGCCGGACAAATTCGCACTTCGTGGCATCCTTAGTTTGGCCACTCGGTGAAATGCATGGTGCAACGACCATGGCTATGACTGATAGTGTGCTTACATGAGCGACACTCCACAAGCTTCCCTTTTACTACCTCCTCGGAATATTCGCAGTATTGGAATGAGTGGAATCGGATTCTTACACTATCGCCGCATTCGAGGAGTTTCCCACTGATTTCTCTTTGCTGATGCCGGCGCCAACGTTGCTAGAAGGTGTCTAGTCTCGGGTCCAGATCTCAAAACCCATCGTCATCGGCCTCATAGCACAATTCCTCCAGCGTGCGTGTGGCCCCTGCTGCGAGGAGGCTCCTGCCGCGCGTGTTGTGCTCCATCCATGACTTGATAGCCAAAAGTTGGCGCATGACGAAATTGGAAAATCGCCAAGTCGTCACGACCAAAGAAAACAAATAAAACCGGGCTGTCGAACACGATGGCTGTCGGGATGACGCATAAAGTTTTGGGCATCTGTGAAATGTTGATGTTGTTTTCTTGTAACTCAACCTCCGCAAATCAATGTGGTATTTAAACTCACAGGACATCCACTTTGTGGTGTGAACGAGGCTTGGTCCGGACGTCCACTTTGATGGACGATGGCCCCATTTAGTGACGACGAGATAGCTAAGAAGGATTAAAAGCTTGAAAATGAGCTCCAATCCCCGTTTCTTACCTGAATTTAAGCATGGGCATTTGACCCGACCCGGCCCGACCTGTCCCGTTGAGGGCGACCCGTTAGCTTAACGGGTCGGGTCGGGTCGGGTTAGCGGGTCGGGTTTGACTCTGTTTTGGTGACCCGACCCGCCCCGTGGGAACGGGTGTTTGTGACTCGTTACCGGGTCGGTTATACCACTGGTCGGGTCGGGTCGGATCAAAATATGTTACATAGCAGCAGGGTATGGGGGTTAGGTCTAAATTGCTACATTGTAAACTACATGTTACAACTATATTCTTAAGTTTATACGTACCTTACGTTAGCCCAAGGTGCATGAATTCCAGGGCATCCAAACATGAAATGCAGTAATTTTTTCGCTTCAAACAAATGTCTATGGCGTATGTCAATAGAACAACAACCCTGTTTGTGAAGTGAATGTCAATCAAGCATGGAAATAAATAAAATCTACTGTATCTCCAAAAGGGTTATGGCAAATGGCCTAAGGCCTATAGCGACCACTCCCGCAGCAAACATTGCTCAAAACCCATCGTCCTCGGCCTCATAGCACAACTCCACAAGCAAACGCGCAGCCCCTGCCACGTTCAATGACCTGCCGCTCGTGTTCTGCGCCATCCATGACTTGATAGCCATGAGGGCGCTAACACGAGGGGCGCTCAAGCGGTGACGCTGCCATGTCACTACGTTCCTGCCCTGGCTAAAAGCGCGCTCGCTCGCTGCAGATGTGGCTGGCACTGCCAGATAGTCCCGAGCCATTTCCCTCAAACCCTCTAAATCCTTCCTATCACGCCAGTACGCTAGCGGGCAACCCTTCTGTCTACCCTCAGCCAAGTATATGTCCACCTCGTCACTTCTCTGCCCCCCCCTTGCTGCCTCAAATGCATCCATCTGTGCAAAAAGCGCATTTTGGAAGCTAACCCCCCCCGCTGCCAGCGGCACGCGACGTCCCTGCGGCCTGAACACTAACACCAGCGCCGTCAGTGACCTCCCCCATGCCACTCGTAACCTCACCACCACCTCCCCGACTGCGCACCCTCTCCTGATATGCGACCAAACGACCGCGCACCAGGCGCATCACCGTCGGCTCATCCACGCCCTGCACACTCCTAGCACATCCCCCCACTTCTGTCACTTGCGCTGCATTGAGCGCCTCCCACTGGGGCATCTGGAAGAAGATGGTCTTGTAACGGGGGTCAAGGAAGGTGGCGATCGCCAACTCTTCCTTGGTGCCGTACGGGTACTTCTTCAGCTTGCCGAGGGCTTTGGTGATGAGGGCCTGTGTGAGGGGTGAGACGGCTGGCTCGCGGTAGGTGATTTCCATGTTGTCCAGCAGTTGGTTGTACGGCGGCACCACTGCTGCAGCTGTCGGGTACAAGGAAGCCTCAGCTACCTTGGTGATCGAGTGGAAGGGCTGAAGAAAGTTCTTCAGCTCGACAAGCGCGTCCCAGTGGACGTCACTGAGACGTATTTTGTTGAGCTGCTCGCGTAGCCTACAGGGGGGGGGGGGGCTGGTATAGGACAACAACAAGGGTGGTACAGAGGGTTCACAAACTTAGTATACAATGGTGATGAAGTTACTCGTTACTAGATGGGTCCCAACATTGAGCTGATACACCATCCATATAGCCTCTTCAGACATACCGACAAACTATGCTAGACAACTCAACCCCCTTTCAAATCCTGCCCATACTCACGACCCTTGGGCGCCACACCATTCTCCCACAATCACTATTCGATACAGTCACAACTCCTCCAGCCCCCGACCAGCTACCCAAACTCACCATTCAATATAGTCACAACCCTTGGTGCGCCACACCAGCCCCATATACTCACCATCACCCAACATATACACACTACCGGAGCCTATCACTCACGTCAGTCCGGCTGGAAAACACCGTCAGTGCCTGCTGCAGCTCCAAGGCACGGCAGATCATCTCGTAAGTGGAGCCCCAACGTGTAGGCGAGTCGCAGATCAGACGTAGCACCTTCGCGTTGTCTCTGCCTGCCAACCTGCGCTGCAGACTGGCAAAAGCCTCTGACCGCTGGACCGACCATCCAATGTACGAACACGCATCCCGTAGGCGTTTCAACGCCTCCTTCACATCGTCCAACTTCAATGCCTCCTGCACTGCAATGTTCATGACATGTGCAAGACAGCTGTGTACGAAGAGGGCATAAGGGAAGGAAACAGATTTAGCTAAGGTTGATGTCACCTCGTGATAAAGTTACTACTATAGTATGCTGCCAAAGTGCCACATTTGAATCGATGCATGACAGGACGTACCGAACGTGACGCGCAATGTCGAGCAGTGGATCAGCTGTCCAGGCCCCTGGCCCCTCTGCTGGGTCCCCCGACAGAAGGCGCATCGCCTTGTTGTTGTTCTCCGCATTGTCCGTCGTCACAGCAAACACTACATCCTGCAGGCCAGCCTCGGTCAAGATGCGCTCGAGGGTCTGTGCTATGAGAGACCCTGTGTGCGAACCCTCCAACTGCACGAAATCCAAAATCCCCGAACGTAGCCTGAAGTCACTAGTGATCCAGTGGACGGTCACACACATGAAAGCTGTATGGTTCTCACTGGTCCAGATGTCCAAGCTAAGGGACACCCTCCCCGCGAGACCGTCGCCAAAGATCTCCTGCCTCAGCTCCTCTCGAGCCACCTCACTGAATGCTTGCATGTCCCGTGCCAAACGGTAACGTGACCCCAGCAAATCCTTGGCCGATGGATTCAGCAAGGCGACAAATCGACGGAACTGGTGAGGTCGGGCAGGGACAAAGAAGCAAACACACACTAAGCATTGTCCCAGCTGTGTACCAGGGCATCCCAACCCAACTGAGATGTTCAGACAGGATTTGAGACTCCCGGTGCAGGAATAGAGGGTAGAGTAGTTATTGTTTGACTCACCGAAGCTCGGTCGACAAGACGAAACGGAAGATCCGCATCAGCAAATAACTCCACGAGAGCACTGCGTAACTCGTCCTGCGACACCCTTGGACTCATGAACGCGCGCATGTCAACACCACTACGACTCCCATTCCCCCCCCCCACTGCGCCAGTGCCCGCCGCGGCTGCAGCAGCTGGGATGTTCGGCCAGGCAGCCGCGTGCTCCCATGCACCACCGTGCGGGTTGGGCACTGTTGGCCCATCGCCCGACACGCCATAGCCGCCCCAAGGAAACTCTAGGTCCTTTGGCTTCGCCGGATCCAGGAACCGCCGCACCCAAATTTGCACATTAGGGTAGTGCGCGCGCTTGACATGCTTCCACCCAGTCCCCGTGCTACCCCCATCCCATCCCATTACGTCCCCACACACCCGACACGGACGACAACCATCCTCAAGCTCACCAAACATTCCCACAAGTAAACCAGGGTAGTGCTTCCCTGCCAAACCCTCAACCACCGAATCCTTAGGCAAATCCTCCTTTCGTTGACGCTTTGACGCACGCCCACGACTCCCCGCTGTCCCACCACCCCGACTGATGCCACGAGCATGCAACGGCGTAGATCCAACACCATCGGACCGTTGAGTGGGTGCATTCCCTGGCCCTGGATCGGGCGCAGCCTCGGCCGCTCTCCCACCACCACTGCCACCGCGCCCAGCCCTTGCAGCACTATGCGCAACCCTCCCAACCCTCCCCCCACCTCGTCCATCTACTGGGGGGCCGCTAGCATACCCCCCACTGCGCCCCCCTGCATTGCCTACGGCCTGCGCACGCGCAGAAGACCGACCCTGCCCGCGACCAACCCGTCCCCCCCCACGACCCCCTCGACCCCTTCCTCCCCGTCCATTATCCCCTCCATGTTCCCTGGCATTGCGGCCAGCACCCTCCTCCTCCTGCTCTTGCACCTCCTCCTCCACATTCGCGTCCCCTCCCGCCCCCGCTGCAGAGTCCTCTGCCGCCGCCGCCTCGACCTCCGCTACAGTAGGCCTATACTCATTATCATCGCCTGTTTCATCACGGGTCTGCCCACCACCCTGCCACTCTCGATGAGGACTGCTAGGCCAGTAGGAATCCTGTTCCTCACCCCCTGCATCTCCGCCATCAGTCTCAACAGGGTGCTGTAGAGCACTACCCAGCATAAAGTTGGTTCGTGCTGCAGGTGTTTAAAGTCGATTAAAACTAGCACCTTGCAGAGCTCGTCCTTCTTCATTCCCATCTCCGCCTCCCTGGTTAGACTCCCCGTTCATATTCCGTTCATTGTAGCGCCTTCGCGCTGCTGAAGGTGGCGCCTTGGCGCTGCTAAAGGTGGCGCCTCCGCGCTGCTGAAGGTGGCGCCTTCGCGCTGATGAAGGTGGCGCCTTCGCAGTGATGAAGGTGGCGCCTTCGCGCTGCTGAAGGTGGCGCCTTCGCGCTGATCAAGGTGGCGCCTTCGCGCTGCTGAAGGTGGCGCCTTTGCGCTGCTGAAGGTGGCCGCGATCGCGCTGCCCTATCGCGCTGCCTGATCGCGATGCTGAACCTGGCCGCGATCGCCCTGTCCTAATGCGGTGCCGCGATCGCGCATATGCGGGGCGGCGATCGCGCCAATGTGGGGCCCTGATCGCGCTGAGCAAACGCGGGGCCGAGATCGCGCTATTGCGGGGACGCGATCCCGCCAATGCGTGGCCGCACGCGCGCTGCTGCGCCCCTGGTCGTGCGACGCTGCGAAATGGCGGGAGCGCCAAACCCTAACCTGAAGATAATATGCAGTTTAAATAGTGCTAACATTGAAGAGTGAAGACTGTATGAGGCTCCCTAGTTGCAGCGCAGAAGTACTAGCCTTGATCTAGTCTAGCGACTAGATCAGAATGTCGAGGGAAAAAAAACCTAAAAAACCAACCGATGTTCAACCCCTACCCTAATCCGAAAACGGGTCGGGTAACCCTGTCATTTGACTGGGTACGCGACCCGGACGGGACGGGTCAACCTGACCCGGCGGGTCGCAAATACCCGTCACTAAATCACAGTGACGGGTCACGGGTCGACCCGACCCGTCCGGGTTTTCCCGACCCGACCCGGGCGGGTCGGGTTACCCGACCCGTCCGGGTCAAATGCCCATCCCTACCTGAATTTGAACTTGCACTCAAGTTGCCCCTCCGAGCAGAGATTGAACAGGTCAAATTGGCCTAACAGGATCTTGTCAAACCAAAAATGATGAAAACATAACTCTACTTTGGTTCCACACAAACCGGTTTGCCTAAACCGAACCAAGGTTCGGTTTAGCCATGCCTAGTTGACAGCTATATAAATCTGTTTCTTGACTTGTGCATGCAATCATCTGCACACAAGTTGCCCCAAGCATATTCTCTCCTGTGCTGATCTGCCCACTTCCACTGCAGCAACACATCTGGCACCAGCCTCACTTGTCCTGCTGCTGACAGCACCACCTGCGCCCAAACCTTATCGCCAAAGGCGGCCTTCTGCCAAGATTGTGGCACCACCTGTTCTGCATGCCAGCAAGAAACAGGTTAGTGGGGTTCATGAAGCAGTGCCTAGTTTACTTGAATCACCCCCACTACTGCCATGCTTGTGCTGTTGTGAATGGCAGTTCATTCTCTTTGCTCAGATTACATCGAATCTCTTTGCTCAGCTGACATGCTTTTGTTGTGCTCATGTAGCAGCAGCACCACCAGCAGCACCAGCAGCAGCATCTGGAGGTGGAGGGGGTGTATCAGTGGGAGGCATCATTGGCATTGCTGTTGCTGCTGTGGTCGTTCTCCTCCTGCTTCTGGCTGCCATGTTGCTCTGCTTCAGGCACCAGAAGCGGCAAAGCTCAAAATGTAGGAGAAGCAGGATTGGTTCTCCATGTGTTCAGCTCAGGTCCCACCTCCACACCTTCTCAACGTTCCTTGTTAAGATGGTTCCTCTTCATGTCTACTCATTTTGTATGCGTGTGCTCAATAACAACAAGGCAAGACAAGGCGAGGGCTTGCTCATTACCTCCTCACCCTTCACCCCCCACCCCACGACCATGCCCAGGGGCCAGCCTGGCAGCCTCGCACTGCACGGAGTTCTCGCTAGCGGAGGTCCTCAAGGCCACCAACGACTGGTCCCAGGACAACCTGCTTGGCTCGGGTGCCTTTGGTGATGTCTACAAGGGCGTCTCTCCCCGCGATGCCACCACACCCTGGGCTGTGAAGCGCGCCAAGCTCATGGGCGCGGAATTCCAGAGGGAGGTGAGTGAGCTGCATATGGGGAGGTGGCTGGACTGCAGACTCCGTCAGTCAACATGGGGATAAGACAGTTCGGTTTTCCATTACTTTCAAACAGAAAGACGCTTCATCTAAAATTTCGCTATCTATTTTGATCAGGACTATTCTTCTTCCTAAGCTGAGCGAGCAGAATCAAGTTTCCTCCTTTCCTTCTCAACCTACTCTTTCTTTCCGGGCATCTTCCTCCTGTTCCCGTGTGCCGGTTATCTCTTCCTCCAGGTCATGCAAATGGCCGACAAGAACCATCCCAACATTGTGCGACTGCTTGGGTTTGCGGTGGGAGGGGACGTCAGGTCTAAGATAGAGCAAGTCCTCATCTATGAGCTTGTGTCCAATGGTGACCTTGAGAAGTGGATAGGACCAAGTAAGTGTGCAAGTCGTGTCGCATTCCCTTGTACAATGTTACTCGTGGTAGGCCACTCATGCTGCCTGGTGATGCTTGTCATGAAACTCATCCCGTGGCTCATTGCAGATGCACCTGCTCCTCTGAGTCTGAAGCAGCGGCTAGACATCCTCATTGGTGTTGCACGTGGCTTTGAGTATCTCCATAGCTTCGACCTTGTGCATCGCGACATCAAGCCCGCCAACATCCTCATCACCAGCGACATGCAGGCAAGCGCGGTTGCAGCATCTCACACTGCATAACAAGATGCTTCTGTGGAAAGAAATGAAGAACTACCCATGAGAATTGCTAGGAATAGGCAGGGCCTGCCGAAATAATTGGTGTGTTCTAGTTTGGTTCGGCGAGTCTCTTTTTTTTTATCTAATTCTGCATATGGCTCACACTCACTTACACGTTCGAGATTACCGTGTCTGGGTGCAATTCTGGTTCACTGCCAATGACCAGCGTATGTCGTTTGTTTTGTCACCATTGAATTTTCTTTCTTTTGTGCTGGTGCATTCATAATATCACATTGTCCAACCACCCACCAGCCCAAGATTGCAGACTTTGGGCTGGTGAGGGTGGAAGAGGGCACGACAGTGGGCACGACTCGAATCATGGGAACACCGGGCTATGTGGATCCGGTTTACAACCGGACGTCCAAGGCCACCACAGCCAGCGATGTCTACAGGTGAGCCAAGAGTCGTATAAAGATCGTGCTATGTGAGCCGGAAGACTCTGGGAGATGGCTCCAATAATGGAGACTCCCGAGGATATAAAAACGTGGCATGTGCCTCGTCATGTCGATATTGGCTTATGCATTAGATTTGCACCTGGAACAAGCACGTAATGAAGCAATGCTAGTTGGTCAACCCATCCAGCCTAGTTGGTTGGATACTCAATTTATTTCCCTTCTTGACTGAACACCATCGACATCCTCCACATGTTATTTGAATTCACAAAAAAAAACAGTGGTCACATTCATGTCACCATTGCCTTGCTCTCACCATCGCATTGCTCTCACCACCTCTCGCACGTTGCAGCTTTGGTGTGCTCATGCTTGTGGTGCTCACTGGACGGTCTTTACTTTCCCAGGATGCTGGGGAGGCCAAGCACATTGTGGTGTGGGTAAGTTCCACTCAGGCAGCTTGTTGCATGTTGCCATAATCGCATTCTTCCAATTGAAGTGAAATATTCTGCTTCATAGGCTAACTGATGTTTTTTTCACCTTTGCAAACTTGCAATTTTGTCCATCCTCTTCCACTCTGTCAGGTATCCGAGTGCCTGTCGTCGGGTGGTTCAGAGAGCCTCAAGCACCCCACCATGGACGCCCCTGGGGATGTTGTGCAGTACTTGGCTGAGCTGGCAGTGAGCTGCACCGTGGAGCGCACTGCAAGCCGCCCAAGCATGGCGCACATTGCCACCCAGCTGCAGGCTGTCAGGGAGGAGGTGGCGGGGAAAGAGGAATCTGGCGCTGCCATCAAGGTGGATGCGCAGGTCCAGGAGATGAAGGATAGTGTTGCGGGTGAGGACAGCCTGGAGGCACAACTTCAAATGATTGCGGATAGGGGCAGCTTCATCACCGAACACCCAGTCTAGGATTGGGATGAGGTAATCGTGGTTCATATGTGACATTGTTGCATTGTATGCATCATTCCAGCCTCCTGATTGCTTTGGGGGGCCCAAGGGACTGCCCTGCTGTTTGTGATACTTACCGTTACTTGCTCATTTTTACACCTTTTCTTTTTACACTATAGGACGGCTTGACTTGTCTTGAAATCAGACGCGCGGCAGCGGCTTAGTGGAGGGAAATCCTTGTTTCCACCTGAATCATAGGCAACCCTCCACGCCAGGGCTGACACTACGAAGTACAGACCTTGGAAAACTGCATAGGCATCTATATGGAGCATTGCAGTTATATTCGGTTCTCAAATATAAGCGCACCCCCTAACAAAATGTGATTTGTTAAAAGCGCACCCCTATCACTGTAACAAACTTCACCTTAGCGGGCGAGTTCCAAATCCAGTCCCCTTCACTCTTGGGTCACTTGCTGCACGTCCAGTCAGAATGTGCTGCCATACTGGCTCTATGTGTTGGCCAAGTTGTGCGTGGCAGACATGGCAGACAACGTACAGACATTCGTCATCTCGTTCAACACCTGCCAACGGGTGAAGAGCAGCAAATAGAAAATGGAAGGGTTACACCAGCCTCTTCCTATCAGGGCCCAAAATTGGTTTTGGGTCACCCTTTCGGATCAGGGTGGCAGGCCTCTTGTACCCTGACCTATAGGGTAAAACATTTTGTACACTGCAGGCAACAGCCTAAAAACTTCCGCACACTGAATCAATCAGTGTAAAAATCCTAGTACACTGATTCATATCTGTTTTTGCAATAACAACATTTACCAACAAGTAAATGACCATAACATCAACATCCAGCACACACATCACATCACCATCTACTCTGTGCTAAGCACACTTCCATCATTTACAAACAGGCCCCGACGGATCGATGCCCGCGCTGCACGGGCAATGCATGGCTGCGAGTGCAGCATCACAACGACTGCCAGCGGTTGCGTGGGACAGCACGAAGCTGTGCTGACGCGCTACGTGACAGAAATGGCAGTGGGTCTGGTGTGGCAAGGCATCAATTTCGTGTGCGCTTGCAAAAACAGCTGCGAACCTGGCGACTAGGATGCAATGGCGGCCCGCCGGCCAGGAATCTCAATGTTGCATCTGTGGTCCAACTCGACAAGTGAAACAGTGGGCCACTGGGCCGTTTTGTCTACACGTCGACTGTGTCCGAATCCTTTGTAAGGAAGATTCGGTAAAAGGGTAATGGAAATTGCACCCTGTTCAGAAAGGGTAAATGAAAGTTGTGTCAGTGTATAATATTTCATAGCCGTTTTTGTCTAGGGTAACATATCACATACCCGGATTCTGAAAGGGTAACTGGGAAAAAGCGGCCGCTCATCAGGGAAAACAGGGTAAAATACCTTGATAATTCGGGGCGTGTTTCCTATCCCCGAACAGCCTTGGCAAGTGGTTAGCCTAGACTCCATCACCGCGTTACCACCAGTAGCACCAACAACAGCACCAACAACAGCACCAACAGCCCCAGGCACAGCACCAGCAGGAGAAGTAGCATTGGTATATGGCAGTGTTGCGGGCAACACATGCTCCTAATTGAGAACGCGTGTGCCGTCAAACTCCAGGGACTACAGGGCAGCCTCGGCTCAGAGACCTGCTGTGCACTACACAGCACCAGGCCCTGTGTACCCCGCCACCACCAGCAGCACCTCCAGGTGCTCTAGCCCATGCACTGGCGCGGGGGTGCTGTCCTGGGAGGGCAGTAGAGTCGACGGGGGGACTTGATGAGGCTGGGATGGATGATGGAATCAACCACTAACATCTGCCCCAGCTGGTTTTGAGAGAGACTTGAGAGTACCGTGGGCAGAGAAGGAGAAACGAAAATGGTACCGCTAACCACCATAGGAAGCACTTCCCGGTAGACCAAAGCTCTCACCCAATGGTGCTTTAGTCTAGGCCACTGCGCCACTCGCAGCCTTTACCTGTCATGTCCTGATTTTCACCTTATTCAGTCCCTGAGCTGCGCATCCCAATATTTGCAACAAAGCAGCAATGTGTGAAGCACAGCGTTCTTCACTCAACTCCAACCCTTGCTCAAGGGATGAACCTCTCAAGGCACAATCTTCAACCAGGACGTGTAGCGTACAGTGGACATGTTGTGATGCGCCTTGCCCTCCCCTTCCCAGTCCCTAACCTGCGGAGATTCACTACACAACGGGAGTGGACTACGATGGACGGCACGGAGTTGTGCGAGTGATCGCAGCTGGCTAGTAGCATTCTTACTACTTGCTTGTGTTCACACAGAAGTTTGGCAAGAGTTTCTACTGAGGAATTGAAAGAACAACTTGCAATGAAAAGTTGATAGTACAATTGAGGCATGTACAACAAAAAAGATCTAGAATAGCATGCGTAACCTAGCAAGCACTCTGCAGGGCAAACTCTGGCAGCGCAGCAGAAGCGCGGCGTGCGAACGCTCGAGCATAACGATCTGCCAGCGTCGCACCGCAGGTGGTCTGCCAGCGCTGAAGTCGCAGGTAACTATCTGCATTCGCAGATTGCTATCTGCAGTCGCAGGTTGTCTGCCTGCGCAGATGTGCGCACCTACCAAGTAGGTGCAGGTTGGCGGTTTCACCGTCAGGCACGTTGCGCAGGTGCCAGGTAGAAAACGTGTCGTCGGTTTTGCCAGGTGCGCACCGTCAACCACGTGCTGCCATTCTGCAGGTAGAACTTTGCCAAAACCTCATGGGCGAAAGTTCGCACGCCTCCGCAGAGTTTCGCACAACTCTGCATCTTCGGTCGATTAGCTTGACATCACTCGGTCGAACAACGTTCGCCGGGAAGAGCTCCTCGACCCGAACTTTTCGACCATAGCTCTTTGACCAGAACCGTCGCGCAGAGCTCGTCGACCAGAGCTCGTCGCGCAGAGCTTGTCGACCAGAGCTCGTCGCACAAAGCTTGTTGACTAGAGTTCGTCGAGCAAAGCCTGCTCGACC